GTGGATCTCTGAGTTCAAGGCCAGCCTGGTCTACAAAGCTAGTTCCAGGACAGCCTAGACTACACTGAGAAACCCTGTCTTGAAAAAAAAAAAAAAAGTCCAAAATTAATTCAATGAGTAGAGAGCACTTTTGAAGAAAACTTAATTATATAAAATATAATGTCTAAGATTTTTATATCATAATCCTAATTAAAATCCATTCAGCATCAAGTACCTGTTTTCATATTTATACTAAATGATGACATGTAAATATATTGTGAGTCTCTCTATTGCATTTTGATGCTCCAAAAGGTTGGTCAGGGTGGGGTTGGCCATTCAGCCACTACATATTCTTTGGCTCTTTGTGCAGGGACTCAGGTTACAGCTCTAAAAAGGCAGAGCTCTTGTCTCTTCCAGGAAGCTGTCATCTTGGGGAGATATCAGTCAAAAGACCCTGATCATTAGACTGGACAGGACTAAGTGCTGAGGCAGGGGAAAAGATCTAAGAACAGAGAAGTGGGGCAGGAAGGCTTCCCCTGGCCTGGGGATCCAGAGCACCAGCAGGAGTTAGTGGGGAGGCTGGGGTAGGGGAAGGGAGGAAGGCAGCATCCGTCCAGCCCCAGGCAGATCAGAGAGAGCGCGGCACCAGGGGGGGCGCTGTGAAGTTTTCTCTTACCCTTTTAGCATCGCCAAGTGTCTGTGTTTGCGGTGCACAGCATAAGTGATGCAAACCACAGGGCATGGAGCATCACATTTCAACACAAGCAAAACAGCAGGAGGAACGAACATCACATTTGATGCAAAGTCACATTTCCGGCTCTGTTGTTGTTTTGATACAAGGTCCCACCGAGTAGTTCAAGGTAAGATCCCCCTGCCTCAGGCTCCTCCCCAGTGCTGGGATGGTGCTCAACCCAAGGGTTTGTTTTGTTTTGACTAGCACGGGGAATGCCCAGAATGAAGGAGTGCTCCACTACACCTGTCTTAAGTGACTTTTTATAGCCGTATTTCTTGTTTTTCAGTGGGCTGGAGATTAATCCACTAGGACAGTGGTTCTCAGCCTTCCTAATGCTGTGACCCTTTAATACAGTTCTTCATGCTGTGGTGGCCCTCAGCCATAACATTATTTTTGTTGCTACTTCATAACTGTCATTTTGCTACTGTTATGAATCATAATGTAAATATCTGTGTTTTACGAAGGTCTTAGGTGACCCCCGTGAAAGGGCTGTTTGACCCCCACGGGGTCGCAACCCCCAGGTTGAGAACCACTGTACTAGGGCCTGGCACATGCCAAGCCAGCGCTCTACCACTGAGCTGTATTCTTAGCCCTCCTTTCTTCTCTCTTTCTCTTCTAATTTGAAATAGGGTCTCCCCTAACTACTCAGTCTGGCCTTGAACTGGCCCTGTAACCCAGGCAGGCCTGGAACCCCTGATCCTCTTTCTTCAGCTGCTCAGTACAGGGACCACAGGCCTGTACCACCAGGCTCAGACTTTGATCATATTTTAAGCAACTCTGCTCAATACATTTAAATTATTATTGTATTATAAGGTGCTTCTGCACTCTCTGGAATGCACCTCTGCTGTGCCTAGGGAGTGAACATAACCTCTTCAGGTGTGTTCTTCTCCTTCAGATTAGCCACAGATTAATATCATCCGAGTTGTACTTACCGACTGGGATCAGCGGTTTCAGAGTTGGGATTGGATCTGTGAGAAAACCATCCGGAAGAGCCTTCCAGGACAGACAGCCCAGAACCAGCCAGCAGCCTCTAGATGGCTCCCTTAGACAGAGAAACCTATGCGAGAGTAGCTACCAAGAGCTTTCCGGAGTAGTAGAGGTTGAGAAAGCACGGTTGTTTTTGTTTTTTTTTTCTTTTTCTTTTTCCTCCAATGTGAATCAACCCCTTTCTACATTTATTTGCTCCTGAAAATTAAAATACCACAAGATTTCCTTCACTGCCAATCTCTGAAAACCAGGAAATCTAATAGCTATCTTAATGATTAACATTCTAAGCAAACAGCCTAACTACACCCTTCCGGGTTTTTTTTTTTCTTTTCGGCTTTGGGGTTGCTTTTTTTTCTTTCTTTTTTTTTTTTGAGGTTTTTTTTTTTTTTTTTATTATTTATGTGTATGTGTGTGAGCCTGTATTAGTGTATGTGAATCATTACAGTGCAGGAATCAGCATGGGGCAGAGTCAGCGTCAGATACCGGTGCATTGGAGTTACTGGCTGTTGCTGTACGCAGGCAGGTCGGTATTGAGAACTAAACTCTGCCCCTGGTTCAGTTAGAAGTCTTAACCACTGAGCCATCTCTCCAGCTTCAGACTTGAAGCACATGGGAATACTTGAGACTCACTGGTGCTTCTTTGGGTCAAATTGAAGCATAAAATCCATATGCATTCAAACAATTCAAACAGCACATATTCCTTATCCACTACTGGTGACAGGTTTGGAAGAGACCCGTGTGTGTGTGTGTGTGTGTGTGTGTGTGTGTGTGTGTGTGTGTGTGTGCAAAACAAAACCAAGCCAATGTTTCTTAGTTTTCTTCTTTCAAGCCGGGAGTATCTTCTGTTTAGGGCACATTTCAGTCTTCCCTGCCTTTCTCTTTGCTCAGATAATAATATCTAGACCATTTCCATCTGGACATAACAACACATCTGGTCTCTCACCACAAACTTTTGCTTCTGTCCCGGGCGTATGGTGGACCTTCTGGTAGATGGGAAAGGACTTGGGTACTGAAGTTTAAGGTCCCTTACTAACATTTCTGTGAGCCCACTGACTTTGCAGAGGGATTTTCTTCATAGGACATCCAAAAGACGTGACCTTTGGGGTCACAGTTGGGGTAAGCATTTGTATGGCCTCATTGGGCATATGCTGAGGCCACAAAAACAAGCTTCAAAGTAGACAAGAAAGAAATTGCTTAGTCCTAGCCTAGCATGGTGGCACATGCCTTTAACCCCAACGTGGGGGAGGCAGAGCAAGGCAGATCTCTGTCAGTTAGGAACCAGCCTTGTCTATATAGAGAGTTCCAGGCCAGCCAGGGATACACACTAAGACCTGTCCCAAAGAACGAAAATCTCAGTCCTGGAAAAGACTGAATGAAGCCCAAACTGGAAAAAAAAAAAAAAAAAAAACTGACTTCAAGAAGACACATTTTTCTATCATCAACATAGATTAAAGAATCTAGAATGTCTTAATTGAACATAATCTTGCTGGATTTAAGTGACTCTCCAAGTATTTGACATATACACAAGGTTTCAAACTGGGGAGAAATGGGATTTTTTGTTTGTTTTGTTTTGATATGGGGTTTCTTTGTGTAGCCTTTCTTGTCCTGAAACTCACTCTGTAGTCCAGGCTGGCTTTGAACTCACAGGTCTGCCTGCTTCTGCCTCCTGAGTACTGGGATTAAAGGTGTGCACCACCATCACCCAACTAGGAGACATGGTTTTCAGAAACAATTCATGTTTAGTTTTTATTTGGGGGAGGCATTCTTGCCAGAGATCAAACTCAGGTTGTCGGGCTCAGCAGCAAGTACCTTTATCCACTGGGGCATCTCACTAGCCCTTACTTTGTTTTGGGATTTGCTGGTTTGTTTTCTATTTCGGAGGCAAAATCATGCTATGTTGCCTGGGTTGTTCTCAAGCTCACCATCCTCCTTTCTCTGTGTCTTAGATGGAGTGTCTCCTGCTGTGATAAAACACTGTGACCAAAGGCAACTTGGGGAGGAAAAGATTTATTTCATCTCACAACTGTCAGGGAGGGCACTCTCCAAACACTGAGGATGTCAGGGTAGGAACTCAAGGCGGGAATCTGGAAGCACGACCTGAAGCAGAAGATATGGAGGACCACTGCTTACTGGCTTGCTCAAGGCTTGTCCAGCCTGATTTCTTATCCAGCTCAGAACCATCTGTTCAGGGTTGGCACCGGTTGCCCAAGGTGAGCTGAGCCCTCCCACACCAGTCATTACTCAAGAAAATGACTCACAGAACTTGTCTCTAGGTCAATTTAGGGTGCATTTTCTCATTTAAGATTCTGTCTTCCCAGATACATCTAGGTTTGTATCAAGTTGATAAAAATGAGCCAGCACAGTTGGCTTCCTAAGTGCTGGGGCATAGGCATTGCCACCATGCCCAGCCTTGTGGTCCCCTCTTTTTTTTTTTTCACTTATAAACTGTATGGCCATGGTAGGCTTCTTGCTAACTGTTCTTTATCTTAAATTAACCCATTTTTATAAATCTATACCTTGCCACGTGGCTGGTGGCTTACCAGAGTCTTTACA